CGCCCACCTCGCTCTCCGCCGCGCGCCTCTTCTTCTCCTCCCTCTCCCCGATCCTCTCCTCCTCCCTCCTCCCCAAGCACCTCCCCTCCGCCCCGACACCGCTTTCCTTCCACCTCCCCCCGGCCACCCTCGCCTCCCTCGCCCCGCTCCGCCGCCTCGCCCTCCCGGCCTCGCCGCACCCCCGCGTCACTGCCTCCTCCTCCATCGCCAAGTCGCTCCTCCAGCTCGAGCACGACTACTCCTGGGACGCCGAGTCCCAACACGGCCGCCGCCGCCGCGTCTTCGACCGGCCGCCCAATCTGGCGGTTCTCTTCACGGCCGTCTATGATTTCGAGGAATTCGGGGAGAACGCGAGCTCTGAGAAGAGGTTTCGGGGGGTTTTCGAGCCAGTGAGGGACCGGCTTCAATCCAGGGGCATACAGGTGTGCTGGGTTGCCGTTGGTTCCACCAGCGAGGGGATCCGGAGGGCGGTGACAGACCTAGGGTGGAGGTTTACGACAGCAGATGCAGTCACGTTGGGGTCGGCGGTTGCGCCGCCAGGGCTCGTCTGGGGAGGTGTTGGATTTGGGTGTGGGGGAGGTGGACGGCGAGGTGAGGTAGTGTTGGAGATTGCCGATGTGAAAGGGAAGCCACTGGTTTGCAAGGGCTGCGAGGTTGAGATTGTTGGCTCCACGCTGTCGCAGGTTGGTAGCCATGGTGTGTCCAGGATACATGTGAAGGCGGTGTGTGAGGTGGGGAATTGCGAGCAGTTGATTGGCAGAGATGGCGAGGTTGTTCTGGTACGTGGGTTGCCACAGGATAGGAGCAAGGGTGACGGTGAAGGAGCTGTGGACAGGGAGTTTTTCCCACATCGGCTTCTCGAGTTGGTTCTTGCCGATGAGAGCAATTGCCTTCACGCTGGAATGCCTATTTGGCAGCTCATTCTGGTTTTCCTTCATAGGAAAAACTATTGTGCAATGGTTTCGATTTCTGATGGAGACGAGAAGTCTGTAGATGGCCTTCTCGTACCTTTCTCGATGAACTATGCATTACTGCATGTCGACAGGAATGGCACTGGTTTAGAACAGGTGGTTGCGAAGAGTCCTGAAACATTGGATAGTTCCATGCCCGATCCACCAAAGGAGCTTAGTGTGAGGAAGAAGAGAATCAGGCTGGTCAGTAAGCTACTTGTGGCAGCCAGTTGGAGCACCTTCTGTGATGTGCTCCTCAAACATGCTGATGGCAGCATGCCAGTGGTGGAGTTGGAAGACCTGTATTTCAGCAGGTATGGCACTGCATCCAAAAAGTTGCGGTTTCTGAAATGTTGGCTGAAACAAGTGAAATTGTCATCTCTTGGTACTTCATCAAGCCTTCATATAGGCGAGACACGTCCTTCCTCAAAGGATGAAGGAGAAGCAAAACTTCATGTCTCAGAGGAGGATGGGGCTCCTCATGTCAACTGTTCGGTGGATGAAGCAGATTGTAACAAAATTGGCAAACCAGTGGATGAAGCAGATTGCAACAAAGTGGAGCAACAAGTGGACGAGGAGACTTCAGCATTCTCTTCAATGGAAGATTTAGAAGCATTTCTTGGGAGTATCCCTCAGAAGATTGAGCAAGGTCTTTGTTCTGAAGATGCTGATTTGGGAAATCTAGCTGAACGCTTGGTTGGCTTGTCTGTTGATGCGCTGATGATTAAGAATGGAAAGATTACAGTGAGATATTTTGAACATAGGGAAGTAGATGATGCTTCTGATGCGAAAATTATCTCCGAAGCTTCCATTATTCTGTTGAGGAAACCCAAAGAGCTTCTGTTGAAGTACAAAGACAACAATTCAGCATCTGCTGGATCAGAACAAACCTCAAAATACAACGCAAATTACAAAATCCGAGAGTATCCTTTTTAGTCCTCAGTTCTTTTTTCTTCCAGCCCTGCAGTTATTTCCTATGGTAATATCACTACGATAGTAACATGTATAGGCAATACTATTTTCTTTTTGTCTTGTACGCCTTAACAAGCATGTATCAGGCATGAACTGCAGATATTACTTAGGTTGGAAATAATCAGATCCAAACTTGGCCCAGACTTTGAGGAAGGTTCAAAACAGAAGATGATAAAAGAGATCTGTTCTCTTTTGCAGTTTATTGATATAAACCTCCAAGGGGATTCATTTCAGTCTGACAGTATTGTTAAGTTTGCTGAGAAGACCATCAAGTCCAGGTATGTCTGTGTTTTGAATGCATTGTAACCATTATAGGGCTTTATTTGTTGAGCTATTGTCTCTGTTGATGCTTGTGAATGTTTAGCATTGGTCTGTGTTTTGAATGCATTGTAACCATTACAGAGCTTTATTTGTTGAGGTATTAGCTCTGTTGATGCTTGTGAATGTTTAGCGTAGAAGCATAAGTAGTTTTGTAAGGTACAGTGATGATTGCACTTCTTGCTACCTGAGCCAACAGAACCATGCTAGGTTAAAAAAAGGGCAACCTGGTGCATGTAGCTCCCGCTTGCGCAGGGTCCAGGCTAGGTTACTTCTAGAAAATTGTACAAGCAACATACCCACAAATTGATCATGCATTTGGTTAGAAAAACCAGTATCGCATCATTGTAAGTAAACATAATACCTTTTGATAAAAAATATATGCATGCTCGGTACTGCTTCCGTTGCCAGATGAAAACCTTATGCTTCAATACAATCTTTGGTTTGATCACTTGTATCGCTAAATATTGATGGAAATCTTAACTTGAGATACTTATCTCTTATACTACTGCTAAACTGCAGGCTACAACTTATTTTACTGCTAGGGATTTGCTGTGTGCTGTTATAACCTATAACTGCTCTCATGCTTCAGTTCCAATCTGAGAAAAGAATTGTAAGATAGGAGCATCACAAAGAAGTGGTGCTCATTCCCCTCAAAAAAAAGAAAAGAAAAAGAAAAGAAGTGGTCCTCATTTTCCTTGATCCTTTGAGGAGCATGAAAGCATTGCTGACATTGTAGAGCATGTTGTAACTTCTAATGACAATTGAAATGAGATGATGTTTTATGTTGAATGGTCATAAATATGAGTATACGACACATGCTTGTTTTAGCCTTTATTTGTTCTAACTGTTGAGTCATGTATCTGTGTTCTTATTCCTTAAGAAGAAACTGGAAGTTAAAGCTGAAGAAGATGACAGAAATATGTATAATGGTAATTTTATATGCTGGATTTAGAAATACTATCCTGCCGAACAGCAGCACATATTAGGATCTCTTGGAGCCATTTCGTAACAAAAGTGAACTCTGCATTCCTGTCCAATTTTTGGCTGCTCAATAACTTACAGGGAGTTCAAATTTATAATTTGACTGCTCAATAACTTACATCTATGGTGACACAAAGGTTTAAATGTATAATTTGACTGCTCAATAACTTACACGGAGTTCAAATTTATAATCAGACTGCTGAAAATTTTGTAGGTACATGGACTCTATGGAGGATGTGATCAAGAAGATATACACGGAGATGGAGTTTGATCTGTTCGACGAAGATGACTTGCCATGTTCAGACTCTCTACCCAGCAGCAGCAACCAGGACGACGGCAAGGGCAACAAGAGCCGGAGCAGCCAGAGGAACTGCGCCGGCAGCTCAAGCGCTCCCACACTTCACACGAGGAGCAGACACCACGACAGGCACGAGGAGCAGCTGGCGCGAGTGAGTGAGCGGCGGAACAGGGAGCGCAGGCTCTCCTCCTTCACCAGCTGGGTGCCGGACCTGCGCCGCGTGTGGGCGCTCAAGCACCCCGGTAAGGAGCCTCCCCTGGCGGTTGCGGTGCCTCGGTCCAGGCAGCATTCAAAGCGGAGGAAGCGGCGCGCGGCGTGCACCGACATGGTCTGCGAGACGCCCATGACGGCCGCAAAGAAGCAGCAGCCGGAGCAGGACGGGTCGGGGTCTGACAAGATGATGTCGATTGGGTCCGTGTCAAAGACCTTGTTCGACGACGACACGGAGGTGAGCAGTTCCAGCAGCGTGTGAACGAAAGTGTACTCGAACGAGCATATTGGTCGCGCGGTTGCACAGTTACGATTTTCTTCAGAAGCTTGGAGGTCTCTGAGCTCCAGGGAAGGCATTTCTCATCAGTATGGAAGTGTCCTGATTGTGGTGGTGGGCCGGGCTGATTACTCATTCATTCCGTTGTTGAACTTCGGCATCTGTTTCAGCTGTATGTCCTGTCACCCCTCAAAAAAAAAACTGTATGTCCTGTCTTCTTCGGTGACGACACTTCTTTTCGGCTGACTACCTTCTGCTAGCGGGACATAGTGGGCGCGACTATATGTTTTTTTAGTCTGAACACGCTTTTATTAATCAGTAAACATAGGGATACAATGAACGTCTGGAGGGGTGAGGAGCCAAATATGGCGACCAAAATCCAGTCCAAAAGTATGTTTAGCGAAGCTGTGCTAGCATGAGTGCCTCATGTGTCCCCGTGTATGTCATTGACTACCGTTTGGCAATCCAAAGCAATCAATTCATGCGATAATGTCAGGTCCGTAGATAGGGCTAGAGCCTCCCGACAGGCAAGAGCCTCAAGGCATTGCTGGATTGGTTATGCCGGCCATCCTTATTGCAGAAGCTCTCAAGGGCGTGACTATATGTAGCAACCCCTGGTGTATCCGTACATTTTTTTCATTCGTTTTTTTTGTTTCTTATATTTGTTCATATTTACGAAAAAGTTCTAAAAACGAATTCCAGCACTTAAAATACTTGAAAAAACTGTGAATTTGAAAAATGTTAAATGCTGTGCAAAGAAATTCTTATCTTAATTTAAAAAATGTAGATACATTAAAATAATGTCCACATGTGTCAAAAAATGTATAACATGAATTCAGAAAAATGTTTGAAGATATTTATTTGAAAAAAAGTGGCTCATGTATTAAAAATTGAACATGTATAATTTTTTTCATAGGTATACAAAAATGTATAGTATGTATAAAGAATGTAGACATCATAATGCATATTTGAAGAAAATATTAATGATGTACATGCAAAATGTTAAACGTGTAAAAGAAAAATGTTCTTATGTATACAAAAACATAAAATTTGTACGAAAAAGTAGACATCAAAATATATATCTAAAATAATGTTAAACATGGATTTGAAAAATGTTTAAAGTACATAGATTTTTTTCTTATGTATACAAAAGATGTGCACTTTGTATTTTAAAATGATAAACATGTATAGAAAATGTTCATGTTGTGTACGGAAAATGTACAACGAACATAAAAATGTATACTTCAAAAACATTTTTTTAAATCCTGTATATACAAATATTTTTTATGTATACGAACATTGTGCGTGAAAAAAGTTTATTTCCATTAAACAAATGTTCACCGTGTATTTGAGAAAGTGTTGACCATGTATTCCAAAGTGTTCAAAACATATATTTAAAAAACTTTACATTATGCATTAAAAAAATGTTTGACATGTATCAACAAAACGTTTCACGTGTACACTAAAAATGTACATTGTGTATTGAAAAAACTAGAAATGTGTTGGACAGAAAAGTAACCAATGAAAAACAACAAAGAAACAAAGAGACACGAAAAAAGCAATGTAAACCAAAAAAGAAATGAATAAAAATAAAAATGAGAAAGAAAAAGAAAAAGAAAAGAAAAGAAGCCCAGTGAAAACCAATGACAAAGAATGCAAATAAGGAAGAGAAAAAGAAAACCAAAAAGGGAATTAAAAAAACGAAGGAAGAAAGAAAGTAAGGAAGAAACTAATGGAAATATGCCCTAGAGGCAATAATAAAATGGTTATTATTATATTTCCTTAATCATGATAAATGTTTATTATTCATGCTAGAATTGTATTGATCAAAAACTTAAATACATGTGTGGATACATAAACAAATACCGTGTCCCTAGTGAGCCTCTACTAGACTAGCTCATTGATCAAAGATGGTTAAGGTTTCCTAACCATAGACATGTGTTGTCATTTGATAACGGGATCACATCATTAGGAGAATGATGTGATGGACAAGACCCTCCGTTAGCTTAGCATATGACCATTCAGTTTATTGCTATTGCTTTCTTAATGTCAAATACATATTCCTTTGACTATGAGGCTATACAACTCTCAGATACCGGAGGAATACCTTGTGTGCTATCAAACGTCACAACGTAACTGGGTGATCATAAAATTGCTCTACAGGTATCTCCGAAGGTGTTTGTTGAATTGGCATAGATCAAGATTAGAATTTGTCACTTCGTGTATCGGAGAGGTATCTCTGGGCCCTCTCGGTAATACACATCATAAGAAGCCTTGGAAGCAAAGTGACTAATGATTTAGTTACAAGGTGATGTATTACGGAACAAGTAAAGAGACTTGCATGTAAAGAGATTGAACTAGGTATGAAGATACCGACGATTGAATCTCGGGAAAGTAACATACTAACAGACAAAGGGAATTATGTATGTTGTCATAAAGGTTCGACCGATAAAGATCTTCGTAGAATATGTAGGAACCAATATGGGCGTCGATGTTTCGCTATTGTTTATTGACTGGAGAGGTGACTCGGTCATGTCTACATAGTTCTCGAACCCGTAGGGTCCGCACGCTTAACGCTCATTGACGATATCGTGTTATATGAGTTATATGATTTGGTGACCGAATGTTGTTCGAAGTCCCGGATGAGATTACAGACATGACGAGGAGCTCCGGAATGGTTCAGAGGTAAAGATTGATATATAGGACGATAGTATTGGGTCACCGGAAAGGTTTCAGAAGTACCAGGTATTTTATCGGGGTGTCGGAAGGGGTTCCGGGAGGTCACCGACAAGCGGTGGGCCTTATGGGCCAAAAGGGGGGGAGGGGGGGCACATCAGACCACAAGGGAGCTGGTGCGCCCCTCCACCCCTTGCCCACGCACCAAAGAGGGAGGGAAGGAAGGGGAGGTGCCCCAAAGGCAGCCGACCCCCTTCCCCCCCCCCATGCACAAATATGGAAGGGGAGGATTCGGCCAGGGAAGGCGCCAGCCACTTGGGGCTAGGGGCGGCCTCCCCTCCCCCTCCACATATATATATGAGAGGAGGGAGAGGGGCAACACACACCCACGGCAATCTCTTTGCTGTGTGCGACGCCCCTCTCCACAGTTTCGTCCCTCGGTCATATTTTCATAGTGCTTAGGCGAAGCCCTGCAGAGATAGCTTCACCATTACCGTCACCATGCCGTCGTGCTGCCGGAACTCATCCACTACCTCGTCGCCTTCCTGGATCAATAAGGCAAGGACGTCACCGAGTTGAACGTGTGCTGAGCACGGAGGTGCCGTATGTTCGGTACTCGATCGGTTGGATTGCGAAGAAGTTTGACTACATCAACAACGTTACTAAACGCTTCCGCTTACGGTCTACGAGGGTACGTAGACACACTCTCCCCTCTCGTTGCTATACATCTCCTTGATAGATCTTGCGAGTGCGTAGAGTTTTTGTTTTGTTTTCCATGCAACGTTTCCCAACAGTGGCATCCGAGCCAGGTCTATGCATAGATGATATGGACGAGTAGAACACAAATATTTGTGGGCGGTGATAGTCATACTGCTTACCACCAACATCTTATTTTGATTCAGTAGTATTGTAAGATGAAGTGGCCCAGGCCAACCTTACATGTCCACGTTCATGAGACTGGTTCCACCAATAGACATGCAACTTGTTTTGCATAAAGGTGGCTGGCAGGTGTCTATTTCTTCTACTTTGTTTGAATCAAATTTGACTATGGCCGGTCCTTGAAGAAGGTTAAAATAGCAAACTTGATAAATCACTATTATAGTTTTTGCCGTAGGTAAGAACGGTTCTTGCTAGAAGCCCGTAGCAGCCACGTAAAACTTGCAATAACAGAGTAGAGGACGTCTAACTTGTTTTTGGAGGGCATGTTGTGATGTGATATCGTCAAGACGTGATGTGATATATGTTCTTGTATGAGACGATCATGCTTTGTAATACCGACAACCGACAAGAGCCTTTGGGTTGTCTCTTGATTATTGTATGAAGTCCATGTAATTGCTTTACTTTATCTCTATGTGTTAGCAATAGTTAGCGAGATGACCCCGACACAACGATGGAGATCAAGGTGTCGAGCCGGTGAGGATGGAGATCATGACGATGCTTTGGAGATGGAGATCAAAAGCACAAGATGATGATGGCCATATCATGTCACATATTTTGATTGCATGTGATGTTTATCCTTTATGCATCTTATTTTTCTTAGAACGACGATAGCATTATAAGATGACCCCTTCACTAAATTTCAAGATAAAAGTGTCCTCCCCGAGTATGCATCGTTGATAAAATTCGTCATTTTGAAGCACCTCGTGATGATCGTGTGTGCTAGACTCTACGTTCGCACACAACGGGTGTAAGCCAATTTTACACAAGCATAATATTTGGGTTAAACTTGACGAGCCTAGCATGTATAGACATGGTCTCGGAACACTAGAGACCGAAAGGTCGAACATGAGTCATATAGTAGATATGATCAACATAGAGATATTCACTATTGATGACTACCCCATCTCACGTGATGATGGGACATGGGTTAGTTGATTTGGATCATGTATCACTTAGATAACTTGAGGGATGTTAATTTAAGTGGGAGTGCATAAGTAATTTGATTAATTGAACTTAAATTTATCATGAACTTAGTCTTAATAGTTTTTGCATATCTATGTTGTAGATCAATAGCTCGCAATATAGCTCCCCTATTTTTGATATGTTCCTAGAGAAAACTAAGTTGAAAGATGATAGTAGAAATGACGCAGACTGAATCCATGATCTAAGAATTATCCTCATTGCTGCATAAAAGAATTATGTCCTTGATGCACCACTAGGTTACATACCTATTGTAGGAGCAGATGCAGACGTTATGAACGTTTGGCAAGCTTGATATGATGACTACTTAATAGTTTAGTGCGCCATGATTTACAGCTTAGAACCGGGACTTCAAAAACATTTTGAACACCATGGAGCATATGAGATGT